AAAGCTTTGCACAAGTCCAGGTAGATGAAAAACCAGCAAAGTTTAAAGACAATGATAGAAGAATATGCTTATTTTCATATTCTAGCCAGAACACAACCCACTGGGAAGTGATGAATTCTACAGAAAACAGGCAATGTGTTTGCAAAAAAAATTATTAACATTTCTATTTATAAACCTATCAACTGTGTCCTACTCCATTATTTTCAGCTGAATCTATACATCTCAGCTTATCAAAGAATAGAGACAAATTGCCTTGTGGACTGGAGTCAGGTAGTTGCATTTTTAATCCAAAAATCAATAAACAAAGCTTTTTGTTGACTTCCTTCTCAGTCATCACGATAAAAAAGCGTTCACGGGAAAGCAATACTAATGATAAATTGGTAGTTAAACAAAAAAGCCTCAAAGGGAACAGACATGCCTTAGTCAAACTAAACAAGGAATGCTGAGGAGAAACATAATAGCTATCCAGAAATTTGAAACACAGAAAAAAGCCCTGTTGGGGTTCAGACAAAACATCTCTCTAATCCAGATTCTCTGCAGTCAGCATTCATCTTTAATACTAAGAATAATTTTGTATCATCAGCAGATGCTGCCATCACTTCTCTATTCACCACTTCTTTCAGAACACTTCTGAATAGAGAGAACACAATGGGGAAAAAAGAATCAATTATGCTCACTAGTGGACAAAGACAAAACATGGAAAAAATGCTGAGGCAGAAGAAGAACAGGGATTTAAATAATTAGAAGAACTTCATTTTTAGGGACTGACGATCAGGTATGTTTACTACTGAAACATAACATAATGAAAAAGCTGATTCAGTTAAGTGCATGCTTAACAGACATTACCTAAAATTGGCCACAAAAGAACAGAAAAAAGAGAGAGAAAAAAACCCCCTCATTCCTTTCAAGTCACTGAAGGCCATAAACTTTCTTTTAAAAAAAACAAAAACGTGGAAAGAAAACCCACACCACCCCACAATCTACCTGCCAAACTAACTCACCTCTGGATGTTTACGCCTCATATGTCGACTCATGGATGCTCTGGTAGATACCTTTGTCCCACACAGCTGACAGCTCTGGGCTTCTACCTTATCATGAGTGAGCTGGATGTGCTTCTGTAGCATGTAATCAGTGACATACTTCTTATCACAGACTGAACATGTCCACTGTTTTCCTACTGGTGGCAGATGGAAGGAAATGCTATCAGCAACAGCCCCCAAAGATGAGTATCGTATCGTCAGCATCTCAACAGGAGGAACAATTTAATGTTGGTAACATGATGTGTAACACTAGTTCCAAGACTGCCAAGTCTAAAGCAAGCCTAGGAACGAAATTAAGATATTGTCTTTGGATACTGTTTTTTAGAGGACTTACCTGTATGAATCAACTTATGAGTCTCCATTGTATTTCTCTCACTAAACGTCTTGCCACAGAGCTCACACATGAAATCTTTGATTCCTGCATGAAGAGCACATTTACCATCAGAGTGAAAACAGTCTAAGGTATCTGGGACAATTCCAAGCCTTGTATTACTGAAAAAAACCAAACATCACAGCCAAACAATTGGAAGCAGCCCAGCTTCACCAGTTATTTTTATATAAGCCATGCCACTATATCTGGCAGAAAATGAACCCTAGAGAAATTGATGTGTGAGGTAAAATTTTGTTTTGGGAAATGAGAACCCGAAGACTAACTTAGAACACAGCCAACACTCTAGATCTACCCTCTCTTAAAAAAGCAAAACATGAAACCAAATAAACTGTAATAATCTTAAATGTGTAACAGGTAATCTTGGCTGACAAGAGGACAAAATATCACTTTTCAAAAAGCAGAATATGCACTTTTTTTAAGTAGTGTTCCTCATACTCTCTGACTGTTCGAGGTAAGAGTTCTCTCAGGAAGCATTTAACTGATTCAGTGCAACTTTTGTTCATCTTTAGAGATCTCACCCGTGTGTCTTTTGTAATGCTTCAGCATGTTGACTTTCTGTGCAAATTTTCGGTGACATTCCTTGCATTCATATTCTTTAATCCCTTTGTGAAGTTTCATGTGGTGACGAAGTGCATGTTTTGTCTTCATTCCTGTGAGACAAAAGGTTCATCGTGGCAATTAGTCCATGGCTCCCGCCTTCAGAGAACTCAGGATGATCATGTTGTTAGTCAAGACCTCTAAAATTATATCTGCTGCGTGTCCACAATTGTATGTTTTTATTTGTTTAGGTAGTAGTGCACATTATTATTTTAATTCCAGGCAAAAGCTCTGGAAAATATCTGAGTAACTACTGAGGAAGATGCAAAACAGCAGGGACAAGCAAAGACAAAACATCATTATAGATGTCAGATTTACTGCCTTCTACTAAAATACCAGTTCAGATTTGTTCCAGTTATAACACGAACAATTTAAAAAGTCAAAGAAACTTTGATTCTTAAGGCTCTTAGAGAGAGAAATCACTCTATTTCTTAAGCTTGAAAACAGCCTAGAATGAAAAAATTAACTTGTATGCACTTCTGTGCTGCAAATGCATTGGAACTCAGCAAGCACTCCTCAATCTGACAGAAGGAAATTTTATTAAAATCAGTTTTGTCTTACAGGCCATGAAACTAAACTGTAGTTTATGTATTCATAAGGCTCCTGGTTAATACAGTTTCTACCTCTCGAAAATGCAGGATTTACAGCACTCCGAGGAGCTTCCCAATATTCTAAAAATGGAAGTAGTTTTAATTCAGATATTCACCTGCTATTCAGTATCACAATTAACAGAAAACAAGGCATTAGACATACCTTTGCCACATTCTGCACACAAGTATTCTCGGATATTATCATGGACTCGCATATGTTCTTTTAACATGTCTTTTCTAGCAAATGATTTGCCACATTGCTCACAAGCATGACTTTTTACACCTTAAAAATAAATTTAAAAGACAACATAAACAAAAAAAAAAGTTAATGAAAAATGTGCATCTCCTGAAAACTGACTAAACTGGTGAATTAGAGGGCAACAGTCCACCTGTGTTGTCAACCACATCTTTCATGCATATTGTAGCCCAAACTAATTTAGAAGACTTTGGAGAGAGAGAAAAGCTGGCTTTTTGTGTGAGATCTGAAAAAGAAGATAAAGCTTGAGGTTGGAAAATACTGAATAGCATGAAATAATAATGAGCTGTTAAAAATGATTTTGCAATAGCAGTTTTCAGCCTGTGTAATGGTGAGAAGGTGGCATGGATAAGAATTTGGGGAAGAACAGAATACAGAATTAGGTTTTTTAGCAGGTGAATCCTGCACCATATTAACTAGGAATCTGGCTTGTGTGCCTAAAAGCATAAATATAACATTTATCTTATTGTAACTTACAGTAAAAACCCATAACTTATTTCCTCCTGAAGAAAATAAGGCAGGCACTGGCAACACAAATTTATTTTTAATATTGATCAGAATAAAGAAACACAAAATTTTTACCTGTATGTATTAGCTTATGTCTTTCCAGATTTCCTATACTGTTAAAAATCCTTCCACAGATTTCACATGGATGGATGTATCTGAAACCAAAGAGACCAAAACACGTCATTCTTTTCTTGAGACAGAGGAGGTTTTCAGGCATCTCTGCCAGTAACTGTTATTTAATTTGGTAATACTAATTACTATAAAAGTTCCTTGAAACATAAATACATTTTTTAAATGAGCCTTAAGAAGCCTGTAAGTTCACTGCAAGCTTGGGGCACGCTGGCATCGCTATAACCTCAAATCATAGCTTTTACAAAATATTTACCAAAATCATAGACTTATACTTTACAAAGCCCAAACTGGGAGGCTGTTGACTAATCATCTGTGTGAAGCGGATCATTAGTGATATATATTTTAAGCTTTTAATAACCATTTTAACACCCGTTATACGGTTTCAGATATTTTAGTACAGCCCAATTCTCTAAAAGTATCAGGTGGCAAAGCCACTGTAACTTCAAAAAGATAGCTCCTCTTATCAGTCCAACACGTCATCTTACTTCTGCACATTAGGATCGGGCAGGTTCTCCCGATGAATGACCATGTGCGCGTGGTAAGTTGCCTTCAAGGCAAAGCGTCGGTTACAAATGCTACAGCCATAGCCTTTCTCCTTGTGCACGTCCATGATGTGCTTCAGGTACTCCTTCCCTCTGCCGAAAGTTAACTGTGGAATGAATCAATAGTGAATGAAAGGGGACAAAAGTCCTCGGGAACAGCAACGACCTAATAACACATCACCGGGATCGAGAGTCAGAGCTAGCAGACATAAATATCCTGTGTATCGCTAAAAGAAACATCTGTGAAAGCTGGATTTAGGCCTGAACCTGTTTGGCCATTGCAAGCACATTGCTAAAGGACATTGGTTAACTCACTTGGAAAACTGGCTTGAGATGGTGTCTCTCCTTATATGGCACAAGTAGGGCCTCCAATTATTTTTTGTGCCTTGAAGAGAACCATGTCTAAGCTCCACTAGCTCTCAAAGTGAGGTCACCACAGAGAAAACATCTTCTGGGCTCTAGGGGTATGGTAAGCTCTACTCTGCGTGGTAAGCTTTGGCACTAGCTCCGGAAGAGTTGTTATTTCTAGGCACCGCAGGGCAGTGATTCTAGATTGGCTCCTGGAAGCGCTATACCTATGACAGACAGGTGCTCCACTACTTAGCTCCCTGGGCTAAGTAACCCGGCATACGCATATATGCTCCAGCTCATCAGGGCAAAGTGCCACAATGACGTGACCTCTTGCTCTGAATTTGGAACTAGTGAGCGTACTTCTGACAGCACTGCCTAGCTCGGTGAAGGTGTACTTTGGGATGAGAAAAAAATAGGGAGATTCTTAAGAGCTCAGAAGAAATATTTCACTAAGACTCATTCATATGTTCTTCTCCCTTAGGAATGTGTGAATAGATATTTTCAGCCACAAAGAGCCTCCTCATCTCATCACAAGCAACACTCGCTTTCCACAGCTGTTGCCTTACACAATTGTTTACTTCACAAACACCTGCAAAAGTGCTAAAAAACCCAGCTTCCAAAAAGAGCTTTCTAATTTGAATGGCACGATTGCCCTCATTTGGAAGCACACAATTTTACACAGTTCAGGTATGCATGAAGTGTCAGGTGTTAAAGTTACCACACCGAAAGCAAAGACGTGACTAACTGCTGTGATATCACATCTTACTGACATAAGCTTAAAATTACTTTGCACGTAAAACCAGTTCGTTGATAAGAACAGAAAACTGAAGGCTTATTATCGCAAGGTCTTTAAAATGAAGATAAGTTAAGCACTTTCACCACATTAATCACAGACTGTGAAATAAGCTCTGATGTCCAGGGGCCAAGTCAGTGGCTTAACTACCAAACTTCCCCTGTCCCTATGTCAGTTCGGCCAGTTTCACTGTTCTCACCGACTGCTTTTGCATCCCACCCGCCCCAGCACAGCATTCTCGCCCAGTAAGGGCACGGATTCCAGACAGGCCGTAAGGACCCCATTCTTCCCCATTACTTCTTTACAAAAGCCATGCAGTCAGAGGGTTAAAAAGCCTTCCTCTCTCAGCTGACAACTGAGTAAAGTATGTTCCAGTAGTACTTCTAATGCCACTCTGTTACTAATGAAGTAGGCCAAGAATAAGCAGTTGCACTGAACATAAGCAGCAGTCTTAATCCTCCAAACTGGATATCCACTGCTGGACCACCTGATCTCATCAAAACTGACCAATTAGTGGATCGAATCATCATTCAGAAATGCTGTAACGATCTTAATTTGCACATAATTAAAAGGCAGTGTAAGTTTTCCAAGGTTCCTTTATTGTTTCTTTCTCCACTTTTGCTTGCTTGCTTCCTTGCACGCAGGTAAGCACATGTATTTGTATTTCTCTTTTATTTACGTGTTAGCATTCGCCTTGCAGAATACCACCTAAAGCCTTACGGAATAGCATCACTTCATAGATCAGAGGTAACAAGCGCAGCAGAAGAGAGCACACCTGTGGACTGGCCTTCTCTTTGTGAACCCTTAACGTTATTCAAAATTCTGAATGATTTATAGACATCTCCACTCCCTCCCCCATCCCAAAACAAATTAATTTGGAAGTATTTAAAGCTACCTGGCACCTTTTGCAGCTATACTTGTGAGGCTCAGAATCTGCACTTTCATCAGAGTTGTCATCATTTTCCTCTGATGAGATTCCAATTTTACCAATGAACTCTTCCCTCTGGTGATCATCCATTAGTGCTATGTCCTGTGTAGGGTGGGAAAGAATATTCTGTTTTAATAGATTAAATTTCTATTTCAAAAGGTAACAGCCAGTCAGCTTTTGTTGCCATGCAGACTGCCTTGCATTAATAATCGCTGTTACATTATTTAAAATATCCTCCTCCTTCACTGAATTCAGGTAAACAAAGTTTTGTGCAGAAAAGGAACTTTAACGTAAACACAAACTCAACAGGTACAGTATTACATCCATATAAGCATCTTTATGAGAACCACTGAGTGGTAAAATTCCTTTCAATTCAATTCCTTACAATTCAGTGTTAACTGAGTTACGTCAAAACAATCTGTGTCTAACTGCACACTATTAAGAGGGTTTTTTTGGGTGATTTGGAACGTTTTGATAAAGCCAGGTGAGGAACTCAACACACAAGCAGTTATGCTGGCATATACAAGAGAATCACAATCGCTGGCATGGAAAAGGCAGGAACAATTAGTTTTCTCATTTGTTTTTTTTTCATGCAAAAAGAGGGTATGACAGGAACCCCCCAGCCCAACCAAAGTACTGCTGGAAAAATACATCTGTCTGCAGCCTTCCTGTTAAGTTACTCTCTCTGCTTTAAACTGAGCAACCTCTGTGATTCACTCGAGGTCACAGACATGTTTTTTCCATAATGTTCAGAACAGTGATATGATAGTACACATACTCCGTAGCAATCCAGCTGTGGAAACACAGAGCCATGGGTAAATCAGAGCACAACCCATGTTAGACTGCTCCAGGAACATCACTGCACAGGGTTTGTAATCACTGTTGTGTTGCCAGTACGAACACGTGGCCATAGCAGCCTCGATATATTTATTGTTATGTTTATTAATGTTTGCTAAGTAACACGCCTTTTCTAATAAATGATTAACACAATACCTTAAAATGGACATGAATATGATCTCTCAACACATCCACCCTGAAAAATTTACGTCCACAGATTTCACAGGTGTATTTCTTGTCTCCATGTGTTAAAAGGTGTTTGTTCATGTTGCTCCTACATGAAAATACCTAAAACAAAAGAAAAAGGAAGGGGTTTTGAATTTTCAGCAGGGCTACAATTCTTTGCAAGTTATCCAATAGACAGTACAGAAAATATTTACTGTCATATTTTTATTCATTCTGGCCAGAAACATGTAGGAGCTCCTGTTATGCAACCAGCAGACTACCTCAGAAATTGCTGGCACAGCAAAATACATGTACACAGTTCCAAAGAACAGACTGAAATTGGCCGTTTAGCAGAGGTGGACTTTCAAAAAAGCTGCAGCAGAATTATAGAAGGTAGATTTAGAAAGTCCTTTGAATCACCAATGTTGCATCTATCTATAAAAAGATACATTCACAAAATCTACCTTCATTGATATGTAACACATCAAAATCATCAAAAACAAAGGTCTACACACCAACTTAAGGATTGCTTGAGTACATCTGGCACCATGAATCATTAAACATTTATAAAATCACAAGTTAAACACGTGATTTTGCTGTGATAACAGCAACTTCAGATCGTGAAGATCATGGCACAACTTCAGATCATGGCACAACAGTGCCATGACTACCCCATGAGTTCACTTTGATTTCTAATAGAAAATGATTCCCAATGCGCACAGTCAATTCCAGCTGTTTACATTCTCGCAGAAAAATTTTACTCTAAATAACATAAGCCAGGAGATTTCACAGACAGACACAATGGCCACGTTACACTCTATATTGCGTTACATGGCCTGAAAAAAAGTCTAGTCTGAACTTCAGTTTTGTTCTTATCTTAACCACAACAGCTCCCACCATCCCTGGCCACAGTGGGCTCGGACATATAATGGAGCTAAGGCAGTTCAAAGAGCAATGTCTTGGCTGGGCGACAGGGCACGCTGGTAACCGATCACGCGCCCATTCGAGTTGCAAGGTAGTCTGACTTGGCATCCTCCTCAGTGCAAGTCCTTTACCTCAACGTTTTGGCAGGCTCTGTGCCTATTCAGGAAGGCTCCTATTGTGGTTTAGTACATGGGTGGTAACTTGTAATGCCACGGTAACTCGTTTGGAGGTGCTGGGCTGAGGCACACCATACCCCTGCAGTATCCTTGGAGCTACAACGCGGAGCTTCACGCGACACGCTGGCAAAGACGCCTACCTTCCCACACACAGGGCATCCCGAAGGCTCCTTCTTGTAGCGAACCATATTTTCCGTGCTGTGCTCAAAGTCTTCTCTTTTCACACGTCTCACCCCTTAACAGAACAGTCCCCATCAAAAAAACAAAACAAAGAAAATAAACCGTGCTTTTCCACTCCAATCTGCATACCCTTTCAGGTGAATACTGTAAAGAAGAGTGAAACACTGGGAAAAGCCTCAATGCAGAATTTAATTGCTAACAAAAGGATAATTTCTAAATTAAATGATGTTTTCAGAATATAAAAGCAGTCTGCCAAAGTGATGTTGGTTATTACACCAATCATAAACTGTCTGAAAATAGACATTTACTGTCAACACCAGGAAACAGACAGATCTAGTAGGCCGTGGACTTGGCTCAGATACCTGGTCTAGAAATTCCCCCTTGCAGTCTCTAAGGAGAGAGGGAACCATCCATCATCATCTTTAATGTTCGGTGAGGATTTCAGACCTCTTTCTCTGCTACCTTCAGGAGGGAGGAGGGCTGCTGCTGCTCTGTGACAGCTAAACACAAGATGCCTTGCCACTGCCATTCATCCCCTTGTCCTCTAGCTGTCCTCTAGTTCACCACACAAAGCTCTGAATCATGAGTGGCCAGTGACAGTCGGCTACTCCCAAAGAACCAAATTAGACAATTTGGCTGCTTTCTTAAAATCACCTTTGCTCTCATCATCTAGATCGCTAGAGGCATTTTAATACAATCTACCATCACCAAAGTTTTTCCAGAGCCTTTGAGTACCTATAAAATCCTCAGATGTTTGAAATTTTGAACTCTTATAATCTCACCTTTATATATTCTCAAGGTGTTTAAAGATAATATTGTGACACAGCATTCCATTTATACTGTTTTTATACAGTAGCCACTTTCAGTCGTACCTTGCAAGTTAATTCTCTGCTTTCAAATCTTCAAGTTACCACACTTTTTTTTTGTTTAAAAAAGAAAGAATATAATTCAAAGAAAGGTAAGATATAATTAAAATCAGCTAGTCTAAACTACTGCATAATAAGCCAAGCAACTTTCATATGACTGTTAGTAGCACTGGATCCAATCACGTGAGGCTGAAAAAAAAACAGGTGTACCTCCTAGAAAGTTTTTCATAGAATTAGACAACTCCCCTCCAGGATCCGTTACTATTATTTTTGATAAATGTCACATTTTCCTGAAACCTGCTACTCTGGATCAATTAAGTGACAAAAAATGACAGCTACCACCCAGAAGAATCTAACACACAATCATTTCCTTCACCTTCCTACCGTCTCTTTGCGTTTCAAGAGTAACGATTAGGTTCATCTGCAGTACACTTACCTTCTAAGTGTCGTCTTTGATGGTCTAGCATGACGTCCTTCCGATAGAACATCTTATTGCAGATTTCACATGCAAACTTCTTATCTCCATGCTTTTTCTTGTGTTTTGAAAGATTACTGTTTGTAGAAAAGAATCTGAAACACATCTCACACTGGAATGTCTTGTCATCTGTAAGCAAGAGAAACAATGCAGCACTTTACAGATGAGAAGAGGTTTTGTATTTTGTGAGATAGATAGTTCTTTTGTTAGACCTGAGTTTTAATATATAATCCATCATTATATGGATTGAGAAGGGAAATGCAAAAGCATGTATTTTCCTTCTATTTTAAAATTTGTCTTCCCATTAAAAAGATAATAAATATCCCATTAAAAAATAATAAAAAATAAATATTAAGTTTGTTTTTGCTATCTATAAGTTTAAATATCACTGGAATGCACTGGAGGATTTAAATTTCTTTAAAGGCAATAAATTTAAATTTCTTTAAAGGCAATATTTACATATCATGCTACCTTGAATGCTGACTTTTACATCATAACTTCCTCACATCGGCATTTCCACTGTGGTCTAGCATACATTAAAATTATGTTTGCAGTGGATTTTGTTACAGTTGATTCAAGTTTTTAATGTTGGTAAAATCACTGCGCATACAGCAATACAACATCACATGAACAGCTGTGTCTAAGCACCAGAACACTTCTGCCAGCACTGGTTCCTAATAACAGCCAGTACTGAATATCCTAGAAGAAAGCATAAAATCTCCAGACCATTACGTGACAATAGGCCTATGGGGCATTTGTTGTGTCTTCAGTAGTTGAGACTTTTGTTGGAACATGAAAAGCACAGTCCTGTAGATGGAATCTGCCAATGCTACAGCAATTACAATGAAGTTACAGTTTGATGGGTTAAAGAGCAGAGCAGAGCAAAAACTGCTGTTCTTTTGGTAACAGTCAGCTCAGAGAGAAAATGAGCTGCTGCCTTGGGATAAACAGAACATTGAGCTTACTTGGAATTTGCATTCTTTGTAAGGCTGAATTTCTATACAAGCTGGACCCTCTGAAAGGAAAGGAGAAAATCTACTTTGAAGGGTGCTCTAATGGGCAATTACTCAGGTGATTCTGGACTGACAGTTACCAAGGGTCCATAAAAGTAGTCACATGTCACTTTCTAAGCATAAGATCACTCAGCATAAATGAGTAAACACAAGGGATGGCTATGGAAGCAAAGGAGAGGTTCTAGCAACACCGAGAAAAAAACACCTAGAGAGATACTACTGCAAGTTTAAAAGAGAAAGCATGAGAAAGCAGAAGAAAACTGTAATCCCAGAAAACTGGCCCCCTTTCAAGTTCCTCTATTCCAGAGAAATAACGTGAAACTTAGTTTCAGGAAAGAACGTTAAAGAGAGATCGTGACCGGGTATCTGTGAACATACAAAAGAAATACCAGTGAGGATATTAGACAGGTGAGCAGGAAATACTAAAAACCGCAACACATAAGTGAAGCGGATGTGTTGCTCCACAGATTACTGGCTATACTTTTCTTACCACAGCAATGAGGGAAGGGGGAAAGGAGAGGGACAGATTGCTTGTTGCGATGATGAAAAAAAATCTAAATGCTTACTCCTCCTTTGTAGTTACTATACTGAGATGTATTTGTGGACATTCCCACAAAATGGAGTAGAGATGAGAGGAGGTGGAACAGTCAGCCGTTCTCACCTGTCCTGCAGTTATGGAATTCCAACGCACTCTCTATCCGAAAGGCCTTTTCACATGTGGTGCACTTGTATCTGTACTCACTGTCAACCTGAGGATTGCAAACGGCAAATGTTTAAGAGGGAAAAAAGCCGAGTCACATCTGACAGAGAAATTCTAAATCTCAACTACTTTTTCTGTTTCTGTCTTTTCCAATTTGTCTTCCTTCAACAGGACATGTAAATACACATTGCTGCAAAATTGTGATGCTATTATCATCCTGCCGTGTTCCTACATCTGAGCTCCATACAAAATGAAAAGTAGACCATGCACCTGTGTGAATTTAACAGTTTCCCTGATAACCCTTGCTCCAACACGGAGACAGAATTTCTGAGAGGCAAGATGTACTTTGCCTCATTCTCCAGCTCCAGAACAGATGTCAGCAATCTGAGAGCTCAGGACTTTGACACCAAGCAGCAATGGAAATAGTCACTGATAAGGCCCCACCACAGGCATGTTTAATATTTGTATGGCAGCAGCACTGAAAGGCTGTCACCAACAGGCATGGCGCTGCTACTATGAGCACTGGACGTTTACACAGCTTTTACCCAGAGAGTTCACGCATTAAATGACACCATAGCTGGAGATAAATGAAACAGGACAAGCAAACAAGACTGGAACAATCCTATTTAATACCATAAACGAAGTCAGATCTCACCTCTAGGCCATGCAGGTCCAGCTAACTCCTGCTTGTCTTGCTATAACTGATGCCTAAAAACAACTTTCTACAGGAAATTCAGACACAAAAAAGGACTTCTATGCTCAAAAGGGTGTCCACGCCTTCCAATTTCATCAGCTGTTCTAACAGAAGATGTTACCTCTCCCAGTCAGTCTTGTCTCGCTTATTCACATGGATATCCACTCAAATGCAATTGACCCAAGCTCCCCAGCTAGCACCTGGAAGCTCACTGTACATTTTCACCTAACCTCAGAAAGATCCCACTAGCCATTTCCACTCACTTCGTTCCTGCTGTGCTTGTATGAAACGTGCTGCTTCAGGCTCTCTTTACGGCTGAACAGCTTTGCGCATTCCTCACATTTAAATAGTTTGTCACCTGAAGGGATCAATCAAGATAAAATGAAAAAAAGAAAGTAGTCAGTGATCGATAATAATCAACTCCTGGCAAGACAAGGGAAGCCAGAGCACAACTGCAAACAGACAGGCTAGTGATGAGAAGCTTTAGTAATTCAGGATTTTAACCTTTTCCAACAACTCTGACAACAATTCTGTTTGGATCCTCCACCCTTTTTCAGTGATTATTTTTCACAGAATCCTTAGAAGTAGGTCACGGACCCCTGGAACCACAGATCACAAGCTAAAAAGCACTCAGGTGACATTTACACAGCAATGTTACCCATGTGCCTGTCAAGGTGGGGGACGACACGTATGTATATACTTAAAGGCAAGAACAGTTTTGGAAAAACCATCACATCTTTGCTCTCATTTAAAATATGTACCTAAATACAAATTTTAAGTACTCTAATTTCAACTTCCAACTATTATCTTCTCATGCTTTGGTCTGCAAAACTAAAGGAGTTCCCTACAGAGAGTTTAAAAAAAAAAACCATAGAGCTCTATTAAAATTAAGTATCCCCATATCTAAGAATAGCCTAGCTCTATTACACAAAGGTGGAACCACCGAGAGAAAAAAATCAACATGCAAGTGAGGAAAAATCAAACCCACCATGAGAACGGATGTGCCTGCTGAGGTTGCTGCTGTTCTGGAAGATCTTACTGCAAATACTGCACTGATAGACTCGCTTGTGCTCCCCAAGTTGTTTTATCAGCTTCCGCCGTATACCATGTCTACTGGAGAGAATTAAACTTCTTTTGAGGGACATGGTGTTTTGGTGATGGGCAAACCTACTGGATCAGAGAAAGAAAGGCAGGGACTGAAAGGTATCCCACAGGTTGCAAGAAAGAGTCCCACCAGCTGGCAAAAGCTAGAGGAGTGTTATGCTCAGCTTCTGGCAGGAGAAGGGGGCCTGGAGCTTCTTCATGGCCAAGGTGCCCTCCTGGCCATCCCCTGGAAGCAGCAGGTATCAGAGCGTGGCGTACTCCAAATTATCTTCACCCAGCACAAACAAGACAAAAAGCAGCAGCCACTAGCCTCACAGACTCTCTTTGCAGGCCCCTCAGAGGAACATAAAGGTTCTCTTCTGCTTATCCTCTGAAAACACTATTTCAGCTTAGAAAGCTTGGCAGTTTGCAGGCAAAAGGCGTACATGGTAAGAGGGCAGCAGGGCGCCAAGAAGCGGTACTGTTCTATTTCCCAGCACAACCACCCACTGGAATGCATTTTTGATGACTCCGTGTCTCCTAAGGACTTCAGTATTCAGCATTACTAGCTAATTTTGAAACATTAAGTGCTTTATTATACAAAAAATAGTTCAAAAAGCCAATTTTATCAAGACAAAAAGACACAAAAGAATCAAAATTAATCAAATAATATGTAGGAGTCTCCCTGAGGTTCTGTTATACTAAAGTTTTCCCCTCACACTGCTCTAAATCTGAAGTATCACACACACAAATCAACATGAAGTCATTCATGAGTTAAGATGACAAGCAATCTGAATAATAATGGTTAGAATAATTTTTGAGCAAAACTTCTTTGCCCGTTTTCTCACCAACATTCAACAGGAGTAATATTTCACCTCGCAGCTGCAAGAGGCTTTTGGAATCACACTGAATAAAAGCAGTAACATGATGGAAAATGAAATTCTCATAGTTTACGCTCCAAAATTCTGCCACCAATATCGCATCATCTGTGCACCATCCTCTAGTGCACAAGCCATCTTTGTGGCATTCAAAGTCAGCTCTTGCAGAAGCAGCATCACCAGGCAATTTTACACTAGTAAAAAAGAGCATCTGTGGGCCCAGAAGTTAAGTGGAGCTGTTGCATGCTACATAATCGTTATTAAGCCTAAGAGGAATTTGTGCATCCCAGAACACTTACTTTGTCACTGAACTGATGCTATTTGTGGTGCTGGGCATCTTTCCTAAAACCAATTCCATAATCCTCTCTTCTGCAGCTGAAGGCAGGGCTACCTCTCCTGGTGGGACCTCAGGTACAACGTCAGCTCCACGTTCCGCTGCAAACACATCATAAAAATACAGTGTTAATATGGGTAGCTAGAAATAAAAACTCAAATGCAGGAATTTGCTTTCGTAATGAGAAGTTACACTGAACATGTTATTTGTCCACGACAAATAACGAACCGCTAGAGTAGGTGGCACTTGCAAGACAGAGAAAGTGGCTACTGAATGACAAGTAAGATGTAGCCAATGTCTCTGATGGAAGCATAATTTCTTACCTTTCCAACCTACTACTAAGGAGTCAGTTGACTATGCATCATGACATTTCCTACTGGAACTTCCCTTAAAGGAAGGTGAGGCCCTGAAAAAAGCCCCTTTCAAAAATAAACCTTAAGGCAGAGAGAGGAAAGTATCTCCTCTTGAGAGGGAGGATGCTTTCTCTCCTGTTCCTTCTTGCAGAAAGGAAGGCATGTCTCTCATAACCACTATCCTGTGTTCCTCTGAGCCTCTCTGTTATTAAAACCGTCACAGGAGAACGCAGGTAATCTACATGGAGGTACTGGAACATTTAACATAGACAAATACCTCAGAGATAATTAACACAATTTGTAAACTGTCTGCTTTAGTGATCTAAATGAAAACCTCCATCTTGCCTCTGTGCTACTTTTTAGGTCTTTCTGAGAAGGTGTTAATGCAGACGTATGAGGGGCTATGTGCTTAGCATTTTCTTAAGTTTTGTTTTACCTGCAGAATCTTTCTCTTCAACAACGACAAGAGGTGTTTCTGCTTTTGCTGTTTTGGGCTTTCTTCCCCGCCTGGCCTTCCTCCTTGAGTCTGTACTGGCACTGGCTGCATCGGAAATCACTGGATGATCCACAGGGCAAGCCTCTGCTGCTTTCTCTGCGACAGCCTCATTTTGGCTGGTTTGGGGAGCACCTTTAGCTTGTTCCAGGTGACTCAGCAAGTGCTCTGAGTGGATGGGAAGGAATAAGAGAGTAAGCAGGAAAGAAACTCATGAAATGGGGCAATGGCTTTAAACTGAAAGAGGATAGATTTCTATTAGATATAAGGAAGAAATTTTTCACTCTGAGGCTGGTGAGGCACTGGAACAGGTTGACCAGAGAAGTTGTGGATGTCCCGTCCCTGGAAGTGTTCAAGGTCAGGTTGGATGGGGCTTTGACCAACCCGGTGTAGTGGAGGGTGTCCCTGCTCATGGCAGGCAGGTTGGAACTAGGTGATCTTTGAGGTCCCTTCCAACCCAAACCATTCTATGATTCTACGAAATATTCAAAGGGAGTATATCTAGCTGAAGCCTATCTATCTGGTTGATCTCACTTAGCAGAGATTCACTTCAAATTATTTCAAAAGCAGTCACAATACCATCCTAAATGAAAGCATATGGTCTATTAAACAATGAAACAATTACAAGGACTGATTTTTTAAAGACAAAAGGTTACACCCCCTGACAATGGGTATATTTTTCCAAACGCCCAGGTTATTTAGCCTAAGTCCCCTTTTCAAAAATGATTCATCAAATGGTCAGAGCTCTTAATTCTAAGTTCTTTCGAAAACTGCATAAAATAGCTGCAAATGAAATGCAAAAAAAATATATTTCATTACCTTTACTAAATCTGTGCCATAAATACCAGACAGACAATATCACTCTGTATAAGCTGGCATCACTGACCTTACACACTGCTCATGCAGTTTCTCATCCTTGATATTCCCAACATTCACATGTCATCTTCTAGACAACAGTTTTATTTCTTCTAGATTCATCATCACAGTTGTTTGCCCAGAGACTGACCACTGCCATACCAAAAATATCACTGTTTTACCTTCCTCGCTACCCTGTTTCTTAAAGGAACACAAAAGTTAACACCTTTATCTTACTGCATCACGGACAGGGCATGGCTCCACAGTGCCTGGAAGAGCAGAATTCTGGTGCCTCTCAGTACTCTGTCATGAACTTCTAGCATTTCTTACCTGTCAGCAGCTGAGGCTTCTGGAAAGCAGATGAACATACTTTACACGTCCACTGGCTGGCCTCAGCTTCTGCAGCTCCACTGTCTTCTGGAGCATTCACTAAATCACAACAAGAGGAAATACTGAAAAGTTTTGAAAATGGGAAGGTGGTAAATCCCTGTAGCTTCATTTATTTTCAGTAACTCCCTAGGTATCACAAGTTACGATTTAAGCAGTCAGGGGCCCACAGGGGCATCTGGGACCACTTCAGGATTTTCCTAACATGAACTCTTGAAACATCAGAACAGAGGAGAAGTCTGAACAGAAACTAAATAATGCCAGGAGAGAACATGAATGCTCTTGTAAAGTCTTGAGGGTCCCTTTATCACTTTCTAAGGAACTGTGATTATTAAAGGCACAACATCAAGCAATTTTCAGCACCTTTAAAAACAGAGTTACCAGTCCTCTTCTGTGTTAGTTGAGGATAGAAGCAGGAGAAACCTCCTTGCTCTCTGTGAAGAGCATTGCAGAGTAAGAACATTTGGATTAAAGAAGTGAGGGTGGAGACAATGAAAACCTGGTTTTGAGCGGTTTCATTAATTAGATATTCTATGAATCCACCATATGAATGTTTTAATTAACATACCAGCTCATGCCAGATAAAGAAAATAAAGAAGAAATTAGGTGGAAATGGAACTGGAATGAAAAAAAAAAAAGAGGAAAATGGTTACTCTGATCACAGTCCATTGTCTTTAACTCCTTGGATGATATGTCTGAATTTGTCAAGAGGATCTGACACATCTGGACTGGTTCAGAGATTTTTTTTGTACACACAAAGTTGAATATTCCACAGTCTGCAAGACTCCCCCCAGAGTAGGAGGATGACACTGAAATTAGGTTAAGTGAATGGCAGCACAGGAGATTCAAACTGTGCCCCAGTTTCTGCCACACATTTCCTGTAAGATCGTTAGCAAGTCAGTTAATCTCTCTCTGCCTGAGAACCCCATCTGCAATGGGACAATACATTTACTTCCTCCTTTTCACTGTTGGCTCTTAAACCAAAATAAAAGATTCTCTGAGGCAGAAGTTTTTCCCTGGTACAAGTTACGTTCAGCATTTTGCACTACAGAGGTGTGATCTCATCCATGCTGTAATAAATGCCTCATGTTCATGAGTCCTACTCCTCATGGGGAACTTCAACCACCCCGATATCTGCTGGGAGGGAAAACACAGCAGGGCATAAGCAATCCAGGAGGTTCCTGGAACGCATTGATGATAACTTCCTTCTCCAAGTGCCAGAGGAACCAACAAGGACAGGTGCTTTGCTGGACCATGTTCTCCCTGACAAGGAGGGGCTGGTGGGGAATGTGAAGCTCAAGGGTAGCCTTGGCTGTAGTGACCATGAAATGGTGGATTTCAAGATCCTTAGGGCGGTGAGGAGGGAGCACAGCAAGCTCACTGCCCTGGACTTCAGGAGAGAGACTTTGGCCTCTTCAGGGATCTCCTTGGTAGAATACCATGGGAGAAAGCCCTAAAGGAAGAGGGGCCCAAGAAAGCTGGTTAATATTCAATGATCACCTCCTCCAAGCTCAGAAGTAGTGCATCCCAACAGAGAGGAAGTCAGGCAAAAACACCAGGAGGCCTGCATGGATGAACAAGGAGCTCCTGGACCAACTCGGACACAAAAAGAAGGCCTACAGAGGGTGGAAGCAAGGACAGGTAGCCTGGGAAGAATACAGAGAAATTGTCCGAGCAACCAGAGATCAGGTTAGGAAAGCTGAAGCCCTGATAGAGTTAAATCTGGCCAGGGACAGCAAGGGCAACAAGAAAAACTTCTACAGGTACACCAGTGATAAAAGGAGGACTTGGGAAAATGTTGTCTCTCTCCAGAAGGAAACGAGAGACCAAGTTACCTAGGATATGGAGAAGGCTGAGGTACTCAAGGACTTTTTTGCCTCAGTCTTCACTGGCAAGTGCTCCAGCTGCACTGCTCAAGTCACAGAAGGCAAAGGCAGGGACTGGGAGGATGAAGAACTGCCCACTGTGGGAGATCAGGTTCAAGACCATCTAAGGAACCTGAAGGTGCACAAGTCCATAAGACCTGATGAGATGCATCTGCAGGTCCTGAAGGAACTAGTGGATGAAGTTGCTAAACCATTATCCATCATATTTGAGAAATCGTGGCAGTCTGGCGAAGTTCCCGAAACTGGAACTGACTGGAAAAGGGGAACCATAGCCCCCATCTTTAAAAAGGGAAAAAAAGAAGACCCAGGGAACTACAGGCCAGTCAGTCTTACCTCTGTGCCCAGGAAGATCATGGAGCAGATCCTCCTGGAAACTATGCTAAGGCACATGGAAAAAAATAGATGACTGGTGACAGCCAAAATGGCTTCACTAAGGGCAAACTGAGGCTGACAAATTTAGTGGCCTTCTATGATGGAGTTACAGCATTGGTGGATAAGGGAAGAGCAACAGATGCCATCTCCCTGGACTTGTCCAAAGCATTTGACACAGTCCCACACAACATCCTCATCTCTAAATTAGAGAGACATGGATTTTTGATCCACTCAGTGGATAAGGAATCGGCTGGATGGTTGCACTCACAGAGTTGTGGTCAACGGCTCAATGTCCAAGTGGAGGCCAGTGATGAATAGTGTTCCTCAGAGGTCGGTACTGGGGCCTCTCTGTTTAACATCTTTGTCAGCGACATGGACAGTGGGATCGAGTGCACCCTCCGCAAGTTTGACCCTCAGCAAGTTTGCAGATGACACCAAGTTGTGTGGTGTTGTGGACACGCTGGAGGGAAGGGATGCCATCCAGAAGGACCTTGACAGGCTAGAGAGGTGGGCCTGTGTGAACCTCATGAAGTTCAACAAGGCCAAGTGCAAGGTCCTGCTCATGGGTCAGGGCAACCCCAAGCACAAGTACAGGCTGGGCAGAGAAAGGATTGAGAGCAGCCCTGAGGAAAAGGACTTGGGAGTGCTGGTAGATGAGAAGCTCAACGTGAGCTGGCAATGTGCGCTGGCAGCCCAGAAAGCCAACCGTATCCTGGGTTGCATCAAAAGCTTAGTCAGGCTTAGTGATTCTGCCCCTCTACTCTGCTCTCGTGAGACCCCATCTGGAGTACTGCATTCAGCTCTGGGGTCCCCAACATAAGGACATGGAGCTGCTGGAGTGGGTCCAGAGGAGGGCCACAAAGGTGATCAGAGGGCTGGAGCACCTCTCCATGAAGACAAGCTGAGAAAGTTGGGCTTGTTCAGCCTGGAGAAGAGAAGGCTCTGGGGAGACCTTCCAGCAGCCTTCCAGTACTTAAAGGGGGTCTACAAGAAAGCTGGAGAGGGACTTTATCCAAGGGCATGTAGTGATAAGACAAGGGATAATGGATTTAAATTGAAAGAGGGGAGATTTCAATTAGATATAAGGAAGAAATTTTTTCCAAGGAGAGTGGTGAAACAGTGGAACAAGTTGCCCAGAGAAGTTGTGGATGCCCCATCCCTGGAAGTGTTCAAGGCCAGGCTGGATGAAGCTTTGACAAATCTGATCTAGTGGAAGATGTCCCTGCCTGTGGCAGGAGGGGAGGACCTAGGGGATTTTCAAGGTTCCTTCCAACCTAAACCATTCTATGATTCTACAAAATAAAAAATGACTAGACAATTCAGCAACAGAAATTCCTTCTTTACAGGCTACATAAAGAACTTCTTCCCTTGAGATCTCTGTCTGAGACACAAAACCAGCCAACCTAAACCCCAAGATTCTGCATAACTTTAGAAAAAAAAAGTCGGATTGGTAAGCAACGTGTAAGCTACTGTATCTGCCTCATGAAATTACAGGCTAGTAAAACTGAAGAGGCACTGTCTGCAAAACTGAAGTCTGTCTTGGAAGTTTGTCCCTGACACTGCACTTCCCCTGCTCTTTAGCTCCCTCAAGCTGTAAACCTAAAAATCCTAGTTGTTCACTGGTTTGCCAAGTCCTATTTAGGTTCCCACTTCTTCAGGTTTCCAGGGTGGCTGCAGGGCAATCCAATTTACTTGGAAGCACAGACCTGTCAGTTGGCAACTGCTTTGTACGACTTGAGGCAAATAGTCAGAACGAAAAGAGGCATATTCTGTTTTGGAAATACCAAAACACTATATCAGTGGGAACACTTTAGAGTTCCCAAAGTATAATAGGCAGCGTTTTGTTTCTATTGAAGTTGGCCTTTCAGACAGTAAGATGAAGGATGTAGAAGCTGTTCAAATTCTTCACAGTTTTATGCCCCTCTGGGAAAAATCAATGATGCCAAACTGAAAGACAGCTCCCCACCTAACTTCACATTTGAGCTGTGTCAGTACCCAGGTTAAATGATTAATTTTTCTGTACACATCTGCAATAACTCTCCTCCTCTTCTCTGGCTACTTTTAGTATAAGTAAGCAAAATTCAGCAAAGTAACCTTTTCAACGAATAGACCCAGAATGATTTTCTTTTGATCCTGATCTCCACACTATGTACTCCGAGTTTACTTTTACATGTGGCAATTTCTGTTAAGTGGGTTCTTTATTTCATTGTTCCACTTACCAGAGATTACGGGATGGAGGAATTGCTTCATACTCGACCTTGGGGACTGAGTTCCTGTGAGCCCCCTAGTTACTTCCTGAGCCACATGTTATGCCAAGAGTATCTGTATTTGCTCATAACTTTAGATAAAGTTGAGTTCCTGTAATCTAGAACAGTCTGAACTCTAATAGGCTTCCGGTATTATTGTAATTTGGGGATGGCCAGTGTTCTTGTCACTTCCAGACAGCACTGTTCTTACATTCACTCACAGTCTCATGTTTTCTTCTAGAACCTGACCATCTGAACTATTACACTTTGCCCAGAGAGTCTGAAGATTTTCTCTGGAATTGCCCTACCCCAATACTAGCCACCTCCAAAGCCAGAAGCAGTTGTGCTTTTCATAAAAATCATCTGCCTAAAGGTTTACTGGCCCCTCTGTTGCTTTTTAACCTCCATATGTATTTTAAGCACCGTGCCCATGAAAATAAAAATCTAGACTTTCAAATCCTTTCTAAATTAGTATTTGCTGAAAGTTACATAACCATAACATCTGCATAGAAGTGGTACACGTAACAGCTCTTTAGACCTATATCTGTCCTCTGTCCCCCTTAAAAATACCGTAATTTTGCATACCTGCTGGATCAGCTGCTGGTATGCTGGATTTCTTCGTTTTTTTATGGGGGAAGACAGCAGACGAGGGTTTTGAAGAGATTTTATTCCGCTCTTTATCAGATTCCATCACTACCAAGCACATATCTGTGAAGAAGAAAAACAGTTTCTTTTATTTACTTTCCAGACCTTTTGATTCTCTTGCTCTGTGCTGAGGGCAGTAACCATAGTCAGAAAGTTTTGCCCTATAGCAGGCCTGCAAAACACATTCTCATGTAAAAACCTAACCGGGACATTCTTGTGCTTGAATTTCCTACAATGTGGCTTTCATATTCTGGAGTGTATAGTGAAGGTGCTGAACAGAGAAAGCAGGATGTATGTAAACAATATTTTTAAATACTCATATGCACACAAAAATACATGAACAGATTAAACTAAAGAGGAAAATGATGAAACTTCTCAGTTCATACCAATTGGAAACATCTTAGAATTCAGAAACCTGTTAACCCATTGATTCAGCTGTAGCACCTAAGACCGTGCTTAACATCAAGATCAGCCATAAAGCATGCTGATGGCAATGGCCTCTCCCCAGGCCATTTTTTACTCCAAATTATACTTAGCATCATAGTAATACCATTCAGGGAGTACTCCCAACTCAAGTGCTGAAAGAAAATGCCCTTGCAATGCTAAGGGATCATGCCTTTCAGCTGTAGAAATGCAAAAATAGAAGAAAACAAAGGGGCAGAGGAACAAGAGATGTCTGGCGATTCTAATTCAGATTCTTAAGCATCTGCTGCCTTTTTTTGTTAATGCACAAGCAATCATGTGAAATGGCAGTTCATTCTTGAGCTTATCTTATTGGAGTGGGTCTCAGGTAAGGCTGCATAACATAAAAGTAGGTTTTTAGAAGTGTATAACAGTTCTGATCAAACACAAAATATTTTCACTACAACTGAAAAAGAGTAGCTTCTTTAGCAAATCTGCATATATGCTTAGACTTACACTGACACTTGGGTTCCTTTCCTCTTCTACCCAGAAATGTTTATGATGCAACCACCAGTTCTTTATTTAAGAACTATTTATCCAGTTTGTTCACTCTGATGAGGCTGAGTTCCCAACTAGGTCATCCATTTTCAAACACTCAGATATATCATGGTGAAGAATCATAGAATCATAGAATCGTTAGGGCTGGAAGGGACCTTCAAAGGTCATCTAGTCCAACCCCCCTGCAAGGAACAGGGATATCTCCAACTAGATCAGGTTGCTCAGGGCCTCATCCAACCTGGCCTTGAACGTCTCCAGGGATGGAGCATCCACCACCTCTCTGGGCAACCTGTTCCAGTGTTCTACAACTCTCATGGTAAAAAATTTTTTCCTAATATCCAACCTGAATCTACCTCCCTCTATTTTAAAACCATTACCCCTTGTCCTATCACAACTGGCCCTCCTGAACAGCCTCTCCCCATCTTTCTTGTAGGCCCCCTTGAGGTACTGGAAGACCGCTATAAGGTCACCCCGGAGCCTCCTCTTCTCCAGGCTGAACAGCCCCAACTCTTTCAGCCTGTCCTTATAGGAAAGGTGCTCCAGCCCTCTTATCATCTTCGTGGCCCTCCTCTGGACCCTCTCCAACTGGTCCATGTCCTTCTTATGTTGGGGACTCCAGAACTGGACACAATACTCCAGGTGAGGTCTCACGAGGGCAGAGTAGAGGAGGAGAATCACCTCACTCGACCTGCTGGCCACGCTCCTCTTGATGCAGCCCAGGACGCGGTTGGCCTTCTGGGCCGCAAGAGCACATTGCCGGCTCATATTGAGCTTCTCGTCCACCAGTACTCCCAAGTCCTTCTCCTCAGGGCTGCTCTCGATCCATTCTCAGCCCAGTCTGTATTTGTGCCTGGGATTGCCACGACCCAGATGTAGGACCTTGCACTTGGCCTGGTTAAACTTCATGCTTTCTTCTATGCTTTCTTCTTGTAGGGTTTAGGGAAACCACGTACGCAGGTTAGCCTGACTCTAAAGGCTAACAAACTGAGGGTCAGAGCCTATTTGATAAACAGCACTGTCAACTACAACAGTAGGGGACTATCAGTCCTTATCAGGACTGGGTCCTTAGGAAGGAAAAAAAGCCCCCACACATACCATTGGCAATACTAGTGACCTGCTTCAGCATTGGCTTTTCCATTTTTTTGGCGTAAAAAGCTGCATACCACACTCGCAGCTCAGTTCCTGGTGGGATGTCCCGAGAGGTAGTGAAGTAAATATCATTGTCATGCTGGAAGGCAGTTAAGTTTTGATGTTCGTATTCGGTGGCTGGTCGCACCATCATCATCCAGTTGCAATCGTCTTCATTTGAGGTGTCAAAATATACCAGGGGCCCATCCTTCTGGAACACCTGCCAAGCAAAATATGCACATAATAAAACTCTAACAAATAATACAAACGTAAGAAGTATTCTTATTTTTCTGCTTTTGCAATGGCTTCCATTCAATGTACATCAGAGACAATGCAAGCCTCAACACCTGCATCAGGCATGTTTCATGTATCAGTCACATCTTCAGATGAGTAAGTCTGAGACAGGCTACCAAGGGTAGGATGGGAACAAATTGAACTTCTATCCTAAGAATTCCTGCTACAGCCACCAGTTTCTCACAAAATCTGAATGACTGAATACAGGAGAATGGAGGAGAATCCAAACAGCACACTGGGAAACACCCATCAGCCCGAGTCACATTTCTAAATCTTTACTTCTGAGTTAGGTATTACTGAAAACTAAGACTGAATTCAATCTTTACCACAGCATTTTTCCTACCAAAACTTGTCAAGAGAAGAATAAAACAAATGTGAGAAAGAAAATAAAAATTTATTCTGCATGTTCCATAAACGTAATGCCACTTAATGTCACTCACTAAGCAAATACAATCAAATTGAAGAGACTCATTACAACAATTGAAATGAGCTGCCATAGTCATTGTCCTTCTTGAATCATCACATGCAGAAGGTGAAAGACAGGCAGTTTTGCTGACTGTATCCCAGCCCTATCTCCTATAAGGATGTTCCTTTCAAACATGTAGAAAGAACCTCTGGTTTAGTTCTTCTGTATCTTGCCCAGAGAATGCTTGTTTAGCTAGGCCGTTACAGGGCACGCCTAAAAGATGTCCCAAATAATCCCCCTATACACTTTTTTTTCCACAGTGTTAGATAGCATAAATTCATCATGGGTAAAACTGACCCCTTGTTATTGCTTTTCATGTGCTGTGTCTTACCTTCAGGGGAAAAACTGATTCTTTTTCCAGCTTGGCAACTCTCTTGGATTCAAATGGGCCAAACTGGGTACGTTTCACTAGCTGAGTCAGAGCAAACACTCCTTCAGTCCCATCTTCCAATTGTCTTATCTCCAAATTGGAAGGAAGAGATGATCTAAAAATTTAAGAGAGAAATAAGAAAAAAAAAAACAGTTGCACATGGGACAACATTGCAGGAACCCATGGAAGAAAGAAGTCAACACCTGTTTCTCCAATTTCCAGTGATACCAAAGTTTCTGATCAAAATATCCTAAATTCTATGAGGATTTACAAATAAGCACAGGAGAACAACTACCAGCAGTGGAGGAGGGTCAAATCAGGAGGGCCATAGCATGTCCCAGCAGCAAAGAGAGCCAAACACATCCTGGATGGTATGAATAGAAGCTGCCAGCAGATTGAGGCAAGTGATGGTCCCTCTCTGCTCTGCACTTCCTAGGTCTTTTCTATCTATTACATCCTGTTTTGGCTTCCCAATATGGGAAAGACATTGACAAACTGGAGTAAGCTCAAAGGAGGACCACCAGGATGGTCAAGGGCTAGAGCAGTCACCCTTTGAGGAGAGGCTGGAGAAGCAGAGCTTGATCAGTCTGGGAAGAGACAGCTGTGAGGGCCTAAAGAACCACCTGTGCACACCTACAGGGATGTCATTGAGACAGAGTCAGGCTCTTCCCAGGGCCTTATGGCAAGAGCAGAAGAGACAATATGCATAAAAATGAAAAATGAGCAGTTCAGCCTGGATGTTAGTTCTAACTAGACTATCCTGAGACCTCTTCCAAAAGGAATTATCCTATGACTACAGATCTTTGATTATGATCACACTTACTTTAAAAAACAACCTATATCCCTCCCCAAATTAACACCTGATATAATTATGTAGATCATAGCCCTTAAGAAGAAAGCCCTGGAAGTTTCCCTTCTGTCTTCCAGCTCCCTTATCACTAACTTGATAACAAGTGCTTCTGCTCTCCCAGCCTCTCTCATTTACCCAACAGGCTTCTGAGAAGAACTATATGTAGTAAATATTGTTACTACATATAACACACAGAGAACATCTTCCAAACAAATCATATGACTGGAACCACCATAGTGGTTTTACAGACATCAAATGCAACCCTGTTTTGTCAGGTCTGTGCTAAGAGATAAAAAGCTAAAAATAATCAGACAGGCTCCTGACTACTCTATAGAAGTTGACACTGGCAGATCTGCCTTCCTGTCTAGATGAAGAGAAATACAGAAAGATTGCAATCACAGTGATAAGCGAATGAACTGAAAAATGCTTTCAGTTTTAATAACAGAACATGCAATGGTAGAAACGGTGAAGTTGAGAAGAACTTCTTTTCAAGAAGCTGAAAGAAAAAGAACTTTTTTTGAGAACACTTCTTTTCTAACCATAAAGCACTTGATTTATTTTTTTAGTAGGACAGAGGAAACAATGATCACATGGTTAAGCAACTTGACTGGTTTTTAAGAGATTCATATCCAGTTTATGGTTGAACTTGCCCTCAACCTCAGACAACTAACTCTCTCAGCTACTGTTCCCCAGATGTAAATTAAAGGCTGCAATCATATTTCTTCTTTCCTTTTCTTACTTTACCTGTTTTCAGCCATGAACTCGTCAGGCAAATAAATACATTTTTCTGTAACGTGGCCACTCTGCTTTCAAATCCACTATTCAGCAGCCTACACTTCCACTAGAGAAAACTTCAGCATCTGCATGTCAAAAAAAGGCTGAAAACCAGTGCATGAACCATATTTGCAAACATTCACAGTTGGAACATCTGGACACTCTGATAATTCTCCACTGTACAAATAAATAAGAGCATTAAATTGCAAGGTGAAAAAAGAAAAAAGGTGAGAAATCATAGTTTCACTTGTCATTGAATCTGGCTAGTATGGGCTCGAGACTTATTGCACTGCCCAGTTTCTGTGATAAGAAAAGCACCTCCATTACCAGTTTCTATCATTCCTATGGGCATTTTGAAATTACCCTCAAGAACAAAGCACCTCTAGCGTCAGGGCTGTTAAGACGGTATTCCTCACTAACACTTGCTGCAGGACTTCATCCACAGCAGGTTTCCAGGCACAGGAAGGCGGTGCCTGGCAGGAGCTGCAGGAAGCTTTCTTTTCTGGGAAGGGCGAGAAAAATGGCTGCGTCTCACGCACACACGCAGCCAACGTGCGCTGTGGGACACAAAGAGCATCCTGCCCAGGCAGAGAGGGGTCACGGCACTTGCGTGGCAGACCCAGTATATTCAGTACTTGTTACAAAACGATCCTGGGAATACGCAATATGACCTACATAGACAGCATGTGTCAGACTCGCTGCCCACGTGCCCATGTTTCATGTCCGTGACTTTTCAAGAGGAAATACAGAAGCCTTATAAGCACATTATATAATACATGAAGCCATTTGTACTTTCTTCCCTTTCTGGATTTGTACTGCATCTTCAAGACAGTTGTTTCTTTTCCTTAGCTTTACATTTTACACCTTAATATGAATTGTGCTGACAATGACTCATTGCCTTTCTCTGTAAAAATCACTACTCAGAGTTGTTTTCTGCTAACTAGATTTAGTCTATTTGCTTCTTTTGGCAAGCATGAATGTTCCTGCTGTGCTGTCACAGGTTTTCTGACAGAAGCATTACCCCTAATCATTCGTAAAGACACAATAATGAGAACAACTTGTTTTGCTTCTCAGTGGAGGTAACACAGAGGTTATACCAAGCAGGAGGACACAACCATTTATACGACTGAGAAACCCTCATACGCTTCTCAGAGACTAATATGGTATATCTGAGGAAGAGGAAAAGTTGCAGGTACTCGACCAAGACACAAGTCATCACCCCATCTGGCACTATCTGACTTTTTGCCAGAAACCTCAGCAAAGGAGCCAAGTCCTGGTGAGTAGCAAGTTATTTTTTGGCTTCAATTCAGTAAAGCACTTAAGTGTGTGCATCAATTTTTCTATTTAATCAAGGCCATGTGCTTTCCCTGCATTGGGACTTCACTTTTCAGCTGTCAGTGTGATACCCATTAAACAGGAAATATGCTTTGAAGAACTAACACAAGCGTTGGGTTAGTCAGAACTAACACAAATGTTCCTTACCTTGCCCTGCTCAATACAAAGGAGTCTTTGACTGTCACCACTGGGCCCAGTTCAGGACACTCTGAATCATGGTACTGCCCACAGTCCTCGCACCCTGCAAGGAAGCAGACAGGATACAGAAAGGTTGATGGAAAACACTTTTGTAACACAGCTGCCTCCTTCCCTCAAGAGTCAAATGCAAAATTTAGCACAAGGCAGAATACATACATATAGAGGCACATGTTTATTTATAATGCTCAAAAGAACATGTATAATTGAACATCAAGTTGATAGCTGGCACCTGTGTAGGTGAGATAACGCACACTGTGATCGGTACTATCAGAAGAGAACCATTTTAATTTTGTCTCCAAGGAAAATAATTGCTTTACATCCACACTAAATATTCTGCTTAAAGATGGCATTATTCTTCAGATAAAGTGTCATAACACCTGGCAGCTAAAGAAAACCACATTACTGACTTCACCAGAACTGAGGCTTTTAGAAACAGCTTGGGTAGTGTGGTCTTTTTAGCGACAGAAGGCACAAGACCTGTGCTAGTAGCAGAACTGGCACAGGCCTCAGCAGGGCATGAGCACACTGTGGGAGCCCAGCTCTGCCCCCAGCCACACCTGGTCAACTCACACTCCTCACCCACGGCATGGGGCGAGATACCTCCAAGGTACCTTCCAGTGCCTTTCCAAACAAGTAAGCTGGCTGCGCAATACATTTTGGCCACTTCTTAATTCACTGTCAGCTCACCTAAATCAACTTTTAGTTTAAATAGCTGCATGTGACTGAATGGTTCCTAAAAAACAATTTTCAGATAGGATAATTTGAGGGTTTCTAAAATAAGCAAACTTAACAGGATAGCAAATGCATATATACCGCTTCACTGTGAAAAACAGCTGTGGAACTGCCCTGCCTGGTCAGCTGCTGACGCAGCTTAAGAAGAGATCATCGCACAGGGCTTATATTCCTATAGCAAGATTTCCATCTGAGCTCCACACTCACAAGGGCAAGTCAGGGAACTCCAGTAAGGATGCGAAGCAGAGAGTGGTTATGCCTTGTTCAGGAAGAGAACAAGACAAAAGCCATTTCACTCCAGGGTATGTCCCCTCCGGTAAAGCTACTCTGTACTACTAACTGGAAGCCCCTCCCTCCCAGCGTTTGCCCCAGTGATCTAACAAAAGGATTTCTTATACGACTTGGAAATCGGATCCCAAACTACAATAACACAGCTCTACATTATTTCTTCTTTTGGCAAGAAAACCAGCTTAGCAGTGAAAACCCACATGCACCTGACAAACAGCAGTACCAGCTCGTGCAATCCCCAAGCCCGGCCACTGCTTCCCGTACAGCTGTTTGCACTGCTAACCGAGGAACGAAACAACCAGCTTTTCCCATTAGTTTATCTTTTAGCCAAACGAATCTCCCAGTCCAGTTTGCTGTAAAGCACCAGACAGCCGTATCAGAGGAAACTATCAGCAGGCAAGTGCTATCCAAATAGCAACAGGATCAAATCTAAGCCTAGAGGTAAGTGGCCTCCCTCTGTTCTGTGCTGTTTACCATATCACACCCCCCTTAGGTGTGCCTGTAGCTCACACTGTGCGTAATATTACTGAAATAATCTAGGCTAAATATAAATTTCCAAAAACAGACAGGATGGAGGAGCCACAGAGGAATATATAAATCAGACTGATGAAAAGAATCGGATTATCATCCTCAAAGGCTTGTCATAACCAATGGGGACAGGAAGGAATAGTCGGAGCGACAGCTTCTTAAACTGGCTTTGCTGCCAAAGGAAACGGAGCACTCCGTCGTTCCCTTGATCTTTCAGCTGCACCTCGGCACCCCTCACTTTGCAAAGATAGCCACGTACAGGTTCAACAAGCTGCAGACAGCACTGTCCAAAACTACATGCAGGAATAAGTCACACATTTCTCTCACTCCTTTGCAGATGAATGATCAAAGTAGAGAGAGTATGACACTGACATTGTGTAGCATGTCTCAAAATCTAAGGGATGCCTTAGAGCAGTCATTCCCCAAGACTGTTACATTTACCATATGTGACACTTTTGGCCACACGAGAAATACAAAATTAAGCATGGGATAAATGGTAAAATACTCTAGGGGAAGTATATTCACAGATTACTATAAAAAATATTTCAAAATTCTTTTACGTCTATAAAATACATATTCAATGATCTTAACTATGGGAGTGCACAATATCATAGAATCATAGAATGTTTAGGTTGGAAGGGACCTCAAAGATCACCTAGTTCCAACCCCCCTGCCACAGGCAGGGAAACCCTCCACTACACCAGGTTGCTCAACGCCCCATCCAACCAGGCCTTGAACAATTCAGGGATGGGGCATCCAAAACTTCTCGGGGCAACTTGTTTCACTGCTTCACCACCCTCAGAGTGAAAAATTTCTTCCTTATATCTAATCTGAATCTACCCTCTTTCAGTTGAAAGCCATTGCCCCTTGTCCTATCACTACACGCATTTGTAAAAAGTCCCTCTCCAGTTTTCCTGTAGGCCCCCTTTAAGTACTAGAAGGCTGCAATAAGATCAGCCCGCGGCCTTCTCTTCTCCAGGCTGAACAGCCCCAACTCTCTCAGCCTGTCTTCAGAGGAGAGGTGCTCCAGCCCTCTGATCATCTTCGTGGCCCTCCTCTTGACTCGCTCCAGCAGCTCCATGTCCTTCTTGTGTTGGAGACTCCAGAGCTGAATGCAGTACTCCAGGTGGGGTCTCACAAGAGCAGAGTAGAGGGGCAGAATCCCCTCCCTCAACCTGATGGGCATGATTCTTTGGATGCAGCCCAGGATACGGGTGGCTTTATAGTAACTTCATTTATAATAACTCACTTTCTCAGAACATAAGCAGTCCCCATATCCCATGGGAAAAAACTTACACAGAGCACAAGAAAGCTCAAGAAATTAAATGACCACAACCTCCACTGGAAGAGGAAAAACTGTGTTGCGTGACACCTTCTATCTGTGCAATTAGGGAATGGTATCACATCCCTAGCCTTGTTGCTATCCACCAGTGTCTTTTTATGAACGGGTGTCCTGGGAAGAAAAGGTAAGGTCACGACTGGTATCTGCAACTCAATTAAAATGTCTATTGAGTCAACGCTAGTTATAAAGGAACCCTGGTCAATCTGTGGTGGAGGGAAAAGCGCAACTTTCTTTCAAATATAGCTGCCATAAGGCTAATGTGCAGCTGTGGAGCCATCAGGGGTAAAAGACCATAGATCCATAACACCAAAGACATACACTCCATTCTGCTCTTCCCAGATCGGATCCCCAATACTGGGCCCTCTCTGCTCATACAAGCAGGCGAGCGGATTACATGACTCTTAGCTTTTTTCCACTTTAACACCAGACCCTGCATGTCCAGGCTGGTGACAAAGGAGAGGCTGCAGGGCTAGTCTGCCACTGGGAAACAAACCTACTAGCCCAGCTTCATCAAGCATGAGACACTGTCCACCACACTCCCTGGGCACACCACCACTGCAGCCTGTCTTCACACACCATGATCCCATGAGTCCAGATCCCAGGTCACGGAGTCCAGTCTGGCACACAGGGTTATGGGGAAGGCAGACTTCAAAGCCACACCTGCTCCAAAGCGCAGGTCTAGCCGTAGGGGCACAATGTGAATGCCATGAGTGAGACTTGTCAGGGCAATCAGTGCATCTCAAACTGGGCTTGTCCAGAAAGAATACTGAGCCTGCATCCTCCTCCTGTGGAGCTGCAGATCTTCAACTCAGGACAGAGGTCAGAGCTCCCCACAGACACCCCTGGTTGGTAAAGCTGGCTGTATAAACAAAGGGCTTAGACTAGTGTTAGGCCTTCAATCTCAATTACTTCAACCATGAAGAAGCCGTTCTGCTAACTCACATTCAGAGGTCTCTGTGTGTGTTTGCCAACAAAACCAGGAGAACGTGCATGCTTAAAACTAAGAACCTTCTCCCTACTCCTTCATAAGCTGTTTGAGCTTCCTTCACATAAACACTTGCCTAAATAAGAACTTAGTCTGTTTTAGTCTTTAATTTCTAACATTCTGGGTAGACAAATGACATCACGAGAAGCAGATAATTTTCCTTTCTAATACTTACAAATAAACATAGTCTCATCACTGCCATCTTCAGCCATTTTTTAAACCTGTCAAAATACAAAAGATGAAGTTAGTTCTGAATGACTTTTACTTTCCATATTAATGAAACATCCCTTTACGGAGTAATGACGCTGATTGACCCAGAGCATACCCAAACACACTACAGCTCCTGCAGGAGTATCAACGGAAAGTTAAAGAAATTAAAGTTGCTAAAAATCCCCCAGTGACTGCTGTATCATTACATGTGTTGCTGAAATCACCTCCAAGAAGCCAAAATGCCTGTAGGTTCACAGGTCTTTCTCTCCGAGGCAATGCTGTCTCATGCCATTCCCTGTCCCTCCTCTTGCCAACCTCCAGCCATTCCTGTGTGTCCCCTGCTATAAGCTCCTGTGGAGCCTCAGAACAAGCAGGACCAGAGGACTAATCCAGGCCAGCAACAAACACTGCAGAAACAAGGCCCATCTGGTTCAGTGCAATGTTTTGCTGAACTGCAGTTTAAAAAGTTATCTCTGAAGGGCGGATTACTTCTTTAATAAACACAAAAATCTTAAGAACCTAAAAACTGCAGTTAGGATCACAGATTTGTTCCAAAGGCAGACGCATATTGTGGTAATGAGCATCAGAAAATATGGGAAAACAAATCCCGTTTCTCTCACTGACCTTCCATGAAATGGTAGCTCACCAATTTGCTTTCACTTGTAAAACAAGAATAATCTATATTCACTTTTATATATCAGTTTTGGCAGTATGTATTAAAAACTTGCATAAACACTATCTATTGCTCTTCAACAACGTCTAGACAATCTAAATTACGGTTGGCAATTAGTCTGATTATGCATGGCTAAAATCAGGACACAAGCAGGATCGAGAAGATAGCTCTCCCTTTCCTAACCATGAAAAGACTCTCCTCTTCAAATCAGCAATTTTCTCAAAGCCCCAGTGAAAGGCAAAGCAACACGAAGATAATGACCCAAGCCTAAGAGAGAGCGAGGCTGCAGAAACAGCAAGCACGTTGGTCAAGAAGAGAACAGGAAGGAGTAAGAGGCTGAACCTGTGAGGGGAGGAGGACAGGAGGAGAGGAAACATGACTAAAGGCACACCAAGCTCCCGGAGCCCTGTTTGAAAAAAGATAAAGCATTTGGTACTGCAACAACGAGAGCCACGCCAAGCACATACACAAGCAGAGCCGTTACTCAGGATCAGTACAGAAGCATGACTCATTATGAGTTTACTCTCCAACACTGATGCTCCATATGCTCTGCCTGGCCAGGCCATGGAAACACACCTCAGGCTGGAGCCTGGAGCAGCAGCTACTTCTGCTCTACTTACTTCTCAGCACAAGTGAAGTCCCTGTCACACACAACCTTTTCCACCGTTTCAGGAAGGACTCCATACTTGTGCCAAGTCTTCTGCTAATGCCACAATGGCACCTGCGTGTGCCAGGGAGCAATGTCTGATACACAGCTGCCAGTGACACCCATGCTCTGCTCCACCAGAAGCACCAAACAGGTTACTTCACCGATCCGTAGGCTATTCCCAATTAGCAAAGGACAGTCCATTGCTACACAGAGATGTGCTGGGTGGAAAGTCAGCACGTCAACTGATGGGAATACAAAGGGACACCTGGTTGCTGTGGCTCTTGGTCACAGCAGGGGGGATCCTGCTGCTCAGTTATCTGGGCA